ATAAATAAATAAATAAATAAATAAATAAATAAATATCAAAATTTTTAAAAATACAAAATTCACATCTGATTTTCTCAATTTCACTGATTGGCTCAGAGAGGAGGGTGTCACCCAATCAACACAAAGTAACCAAATAATAGGAAACGCTGTCTAGTTTTCTGAAATGAGTGTCCTTTTTCTTCTATGAAAGCTGCCAGAAGAGATATTCCTCTTTCTTTACGAAACAGCAAAAAATAAAAATAAAAAATAAAAAATAAATTAAAAAACAGGTGATCTCTGAAGTTTAAATTTATTTTTACTTCTGTGAGAGGAGAACTGCGGCTGGCAGAGATCCACCTTGTAGAGCACAAGGAAAGGCCAAGTGAGGGACCATGGGACTCAGTGACATCACCTGAGGCATGATTCCTGCATCACTGAAAGTCAGATCTTTCCTCTAGATGTCCTGGTAACATGGAAGACTATATATATGTATATATATAGATATAGATTTATATATATATATTTTTTTTTTGCTTTGAGTGGTTTAAATTATATTCTATGTTGCTTACAAAACAACTGTGCACAGGCTTTTAAAAATTATTCTCTAGCTTATTTTTTCCTTTTCCATTTATAATATTCCATTTGAGTAAATAATCAAAACAGCACTACAATAGCAAAATGACTTCTGGGTCTTCTTTCTGTTACATTCAGATTAAAGCTGATAGCATAATATTTTGAATCCCTCTAGTGTTGAGAAATATCTGTCCTTTGAAGACATTTGATTTGAGAGAACAATCAAACGTCATTTGCAGTCAAATTCAGTAAACAATGTGGGGACTCAAACCATGTAATTTGTGTTTGGGCTTAAAAAGGTTGTAGCACTGAAATAATGAGATTGATCTTTTATTTTTAATTCTCCATGTAGTCTATATCCCAGCTTTGATGTGATTATATTAAAATGAATTTTTTATATTCATTTTGGAGTTTTATTACTCACAAATTTATTGTGCCATGTTTCCTGGACTTTAAAGGAAGCCCTGCGAGTATTCCTACCTAATTAAGGTAATAGCAATGATACCTTGCTTTTCTGAATATGACTGCAAAGGAAGATAAATGATACAATTTAATTTGGCAATAAAATTTGTTGCCTATTTATTATATACTAAACACTAAAACAGACCTTGATAAAAAGGGGGGGATATACATCATAGATTATTTATTCTTTACTTCCTATTTGAATTTTTTAAATTTTATTGGTACATTTAAGGTATACAATGTAATGACATTAAGTGTTGGAAATTTGTACCTTTGTTTTTCTCCCTATTTTAATGGTGAGATGTTAAAGCTCAGAAAGGTTAAATAACTTTGTAGTGATTCTTGATTCTTGGTTGTCTTGATTGAGA